TTTTGTTCCTTTAGCAAAACTATACTATCTGGGTTTTCCTTAAGGTCCATGGTCAATCTACTCTCAGGTTTTTGTCCACGTGAGCAGTGTCTGGCATGGGTTCCATCTCATGAAGTAGGCCTTAAATCCAAGTAGAATAAAATTGGTTAGTTCCAGAATCACTCTAGAGCATAGTGTTTATAAGTGGGTTAGTGGTTACTTTTATCCTCTGATAGAATGCCAAGTATCTTTCTTTCTTTAAATCAATTTTTAATTTTTTTAATATTAGTTACAGTTTATTAACTTTGTATCCCAGCTGTATCCTGCTCCCTCATTCCCTCCCAATCCCACCCTCCCTCCCTCATCTTCTCCCTACCCCTTTCCAACTTCACTGATAGGGGAGGACCTCCTCCCCTTTCATCTGACCCTAGCTTATCAGGTATCTTCAGGCCTGGCTGCAAAGTCTTCCTCTGTAGTCTAGCAGGGATGCTCATCCCTTGAGTGTGTATGTGGGGAAGGGGAGGTCAAAGAACCTGCTATTAAGTTCATGTCAGAAATAGTCTCTGTTCCCTTACAAGGATACCCATTTGGATACTTAGCTACCATGGGCTACATTCGAGCAGGGGTTCTAGGTTATATCCATATATGGTCCTTGGTTGGAGAAACAGTCACAGAAACAACCCCTGTGCCCAGATATATTTGGTCCTTGTGGAACTGCTGTCCTCTCCAGGTCATACTAACTCCCCCTTCTTTTATATGATACCCTGTCCTCTGCTGAAAGTTTGGTTATGAGTCTTAGTATCTGCTTTGATACACTGCTGGGTAGAGACTTTCAGAGGCCCTCAGTGATAGGTTCCTGTCCTGTTACTTGTTTTCTCCTGCAACCAATGTCCATCCCATTTGTCTTTCTAAGTGAAGGTTAATCATCTTACCCAGGGTCCTCTTTCTTGTTTATCTTCTTTAGGTGTACACATTTCAGTATGTTTATCCTACGCTTCCTCAAGATCCAGCTATATCACTCCTAGTCATATACCTAAAAGTTGCTCAAGTACACAACAAGGACATTTGCTCAACCATGTTTGTAGAAGCTTTATTTGTAATAGACAGAACCGGGAAACAACCCAGATGTCCATCAATGGAGGAATGGATACAGAAATTGTGGTACTTTTACACAGTGGAATACTACTCAGCAATGAAAAACAAGGAAATCATGAAATTTGTAGGCAAATGGTGGGATCTAGGAAAGATCATTCTGAGTGAGGTATCCCAGAAGGAGAGATACACACATGCATATACTCACTTATAAGTGGGTACTAGGCCAAGTATCTTTCACTACAATGAACAGTAGTCAGATGGCTTCATATCTCTACTTAGGCACCAGTACTATTCCTCCATGTTTAACGAGATTATGTGGTAAAGAAAGAGGAGAGTAAGAGAGAGAACAATGGAAGATTTAGCTAGCACTAAAGGCCATTTGAGGGGTCATATAGAAACCTACTTTCAGCAGACAATTCTTATATATACTTATATGAAAAAAATCTAAATGAAATCAACAAATAACAACAGAGACAACCTCACCTAGACATCTTTCTCTTCCAAATGAAACCTCCATTGCCAGGGATGGGCTACATCTAAATGAATTATTGGCCAGACAGTCTAAGGGAACCCACAAACAATTTTGGTTGTCATCCCAAAATTGGTGGTCAGCTCCTGTTGCTGAAAAGACTTGCTTCTTGTTATTACAGACTGAGGGGAGCCATGCCTTTGAGTATGTGCGCGCACACACACACACACACACACACACACACACACACACACACACACGTAACCTTGGTCTTTTGACACTGGCAGAAGATCTCCAAAGATCTCAGACATTCACCATGGGCTTCTGCCGACTGCTTCACAGAACAGGGATTTTGTGTCAATTGATCTTCCATCACAAAATGAATGGTAGTTATAACTCTCTCCTCACCCTATGGGCTTCCTCCCTTTGTCTAGCTCTCTCACCTCACCCACCTGCAGATTTGCATATTGTTGCCTGAGTCTCCCATGCAATTGTGAGGTAAAAAGTTCAGCTGCAGTCTTGCTTTAACTCCTCTGGAACCCTTACTTCAGCTTCTCAAACCGAGGCTTTATACTCAGTTCCTAGGGTTGCTGATGCTTTGGATCCCTGACAAGGTTAGAGGCAAGAAATGAGGTGAATGGGTACTGTGGGGAGCTGTGGGACACTGCTGCTGCCCAAGTGTGTTTAGTTCATATGCAAATGTGCCTATGGATTTAGACCTAGATCTTGAGAGAGAGCTGACAAGAAAGGCTCTGATGAAGATGGTCACAGGGAAGGAGTGGTATGAGATGAGCAAATCCTACAACAGTGGTTCTCAGCCTTCCTAATATGGGAATATTTGCATGTTGGAAGACGTGCATGGAGAAAACCAAAATTTCCAAATTTTCCTGTAATGCTCCTAAGCATCTTTCTGCCATTTTATGCAGTATGTTTAGGTGAAGTAGGAATCACAGTATTGTTGACTATACATTCACAATACCTATCTACTCTGATATATGTTGAAGTTGTGCTACACGGCACAAAATCAAATATGAGACAAGGTGAAATCTTTTTATAAAAATAAGCAAGCACACCCATGTCATTAACATGCAGATTTTTTCATCTTTAAAAAGTTATAAAATTACATAATAAAAAATATTTTAAAATACTATTCTTATGATTTATTCTCTAATGTTTATCTTCTACACCAAGCTTGTATACCTATGTGCCTGATGTTGCATTGAACATTTCACAGGTGAAATATTGTTCCTGACCAGCTGTTGTGGCCATTTCCATTGTATCAGCCAAATGATCACTTATGTAGCCCTGTCCATATTTATACAGACATCAGTGAACAAAACCAAAAAGAAGCTCCTTACAGAGAAATTGGCAAGCATTCATGTAACATATATACAAAAACAGGTGGACCCATTTACCTGCATATAAATTATTAGGCTACTGCAGTGGAGTTCTACAGTGGGTTCATAAATCACACCAGGAACAGGTTCCACATGAGAGCTTTTATTAGGGGAAGAGGGGCAGGGTCACAAAGACTGTCTGTGGGCAAGGCAGGAAAGACAGAAAGAGAGAGGGGGGGAAGTCCTCTTCTAAGGTAACACAGCACAAGCTAGAACTAACAGGTGGTTGCAGGTGGTCTGCAGGTGGTCACAATTTGGCAGCAGTTCTGGAGGTGGTCTCACAGATGCCTGATATCCTGTTTGTCAGGTCCCCTGGGGCCATAGGTATGTCTCCTTACCGAGACCAACACAATAAGTATATACATATTTACATATATATATATTACAAGTTATGAATCTAATTCCACTGGACTTTAATGTTTATTCCATGAATGTAGTTCTGTTTATACCCTTTAACATAGAGGCCTTACCTCAGAAGAATAATTGCCTCACAGTAATTACGAGGATAATGGATTACATGATATTTTAAACATATTGCATTCCAAAATGTTCATGGTAGGTACAGAACAATAATAATTCAAGTGATGTGTTAACAAAGCCTATGCATTAGGATAATTAGCCAGATAATTGTTTATATGTCTTTGCATTAAGAGATTCTTTATCTCTGGTTTCACAAGTTCATCTAAGGTTTAAGACAATAATTTCTAGATGTCTTAATGCACAGTGAGACCTATTGACCCATGGATTGTTTACTTTTGGGACAATAAATCTGTTTCAGGCCTTACCTCTCTCTGTTGAGATGTATGTGCTCGGCATCTAGAGGCTCACAGCTGTTTTTACTGTAGCTACAACTTTCTATCAACTATCTAACTTCTTAAATTCTAACATGTGTTTAATTCACAACAGGAAATGTATAAAATCTTCATCAGGCACTACAAAATTATTAATTCATCTGAACAGCAGTTCATCTTCACAAATATCCTCCTCAACCTGGATGGGTAAATGCCCAGGGAAAGATGGCAGTGAAGCCTCTTTCACACCATGCCAGAGTTTTGAGAGATACAGTAACAGCAGCACAGCAAAATGGGGTGTCAGTTAGAGGAAGGAATGCTAAAGGCACAATCTGCTTCAGATTTACCTCTAGTGTAGACCTTGGGGGGGGGGAAAAACAAACCAAACATAAACCTAAGTTGCCTCCCAGAAATCCCAGATGTCTCCTGAATCCCTTTCCCTAAATGTCTCCTGACAGAATGAAGAAATAGCAGGAAAGGGAAAGCAAAATGAAGGTTAGTGCATATGGTCAAAATACATGATACATTGGAAAGACATGGCTTTCATGAAAAGTGTGTTCAAAGAATTAACACCCATAAAAGACTTTAAGTGGCAGCAAGATAACTCATATGGCAAAGACACTTTCCAATAAGCCTGAGGTCAAACCTGAGTTTGATCCCCAGAAACAAAACATAAAAAGAGTCAGTTCTAAATTGTCTTCTGACCTCCACAAACATGCCATATCATATGTGCACCTACAAATATGCACACACGACACACTAAAGCACACTCACATGAATCCAGACAAAGGTAATTAACTAAAATGTAATAAAAATTTAAACAGTTTGTGGAAAGTAAAATCATTAGCAGCAGATAGGGTCACCACCAATGAAGGAAGAAAGGAAGAAAGGAAAGAGGACAACCACTCTATAATCTACAAAAACCAAGAAATGTACTCTTTCCTAGAGCCCCAAATTGAAATAAAGTTTTCCATCATCATCATCATCACTATATTGTATATCAGAACTACAACACTGTAAAAAGATAATTTCAAGCAGCAGAGTTTGTAGTAATGTGTTACAGAAGGAATACAAAGATAATACTGAGTTCTTTTTTGCATTTTCATATAAAGGTATCTCATATCAAAAGGCATCAGAATCGTTAAACCCATAATTTAGTAAGGGGCTCTGCAAACTTTTTCATCATGTTTTCAGGCACACCTGCTATCATGATGAAGGGGAAGTGTGCATGGCCATGGCTGTGTGTGGTACAGGCAGCTGGTGAGACTCTCAAGGAGGTTTGTGTTGGAGGCTGACGCACTGCGGGAGGATAGCTGTAACCTGCTGACAGTAGTAACCTGCCAGGTCTTCAGCCTGCACACTGCTGGTGCTGAGAGTGAAATCTGTCCCAGATCCACTGCCTGTGAAGCGATCAGGGACCCCAGTGTGCCGAGTGGTTGTATGGTAGATCAGTGGCTTAGGGGATTGCCCTGGTTTCTGCTGGTACCAGGACAAGTAGTTCTTTTGGTTGACACTGTAATAAAGACTCTGACTGGACCTGCAGCTGATGGTGACTTTCTCTCCAGCTGACACAGCCAGGGAGGATGGAGACTGGGTCATCATGATATCTGCACAGGAACCTGCAATCAGGAACATGCAATGAACATGCATATAGACACAAACACAGATTGCAAAACAGTTGAAATTTATAATTTAATATCTTTGTACTATCATTTTGTCAGAATATTATAATGTAAGAATTATTGAGTCTGACACAGTCTAAGTTTCTTATCTACAAAGAAGTGACTCTGCAAAGATAATCATATTTTGAGTTTCTTACCAGACACCCAAAGCAGCAGGGATAGGAGGACCTGGATCTGTGACTTCATCTTGCTCCCTCTGCTGTCGTTTGAAGTTCAGTTCTCACTGCAGAGGCCTGGTTTATAAATTCTCAGCAGCTGGGCTGGGCTGTAGGGGGCCCATGCAAAGCAGTCAGCAAATACAAAAGCAAATGCCTGTGCAGTGTCTGTGAGTGTAGCTGGTGTCAATCAACAGTCAAAAACAATATTAGGGGAAGCATGAGCAATCGCTGAAAAAGATTGCCTTATAGCTCTCAAACAGAAAAGTACTAGGTGCTCTAAAAGCAGATCTGGGTTAAAATCCAAGATATATTTAAATCAATTGACTTCTGTAGAAACATTAGTAGATCTATCTCAGACTGACAGTATTAGGAAAATAATAGGACATGTTCAAAAACAACAACACAACAAAAAACAACAGTGAAAGAAACAGAGTAAGAAAGCTTGCCATAAAAAAAATGGTAGAGGGAAGAAAAAGATGAAGGAAAAAAGAAAATTGAGGCTAAATATGTTCAGTATTACTCATCTCCAAAGCCACTCTTGTACTGAAAACAGAGAACAGGGCCGCATATGTTTTGGCTCTAGTTTCTTAGATAAACAAGGGACTAAGGAGAAAAGAGCAGCCCAGAATTCACTCTGTGGATATCCTGGTGGACATTAATTTAAGACTGAGATCAGAGGAACTTGAATCTCAAAGTCTAGGAAACCTAGCAGAAACTAACAAGTATCCTCCCTAAAATTTCAGGAAATTGATAGAGGGGTTTAAATCTTGATAAATGAAAGGGAAACAACAGATTTTTCATGAAGTCATTGCTGTAGACCAACACAGACATGACATTTTATTCAAGAAATAAAAATGCTAGTGTAATTTAGAAATTAGCAGCATTGAGACTGGATTAAGATGGGCTTCTGACATCGTGAACAGGTAAGTCTCTCCAGAAGTACATTAAGCCATCCTAATGTACTTAATGATTTTCTAGAGACTATTAGAACACTACAGCAGCGATAGTTGCTATCCAAATAGTGAAAAAGAGAATTTTGGCTATGGATAAAAAATTCAATAGCGACAAGAGAAATCACAGAAACTTCCAGGACATCATCATATTACTGAACTCAGAAAGTATATATAAGAAGTAATTCATAAAGCCAGAATCATGTGTAAAGTATAAGAGAAAAACAAATAAATCAAATATCATACGAAGGAGTGAGATTCACATCTGTACTCCCAGAACTGGAGAGACAAAAGCAGGAGACTCATGATTTTGAGGCCTGCCTAGGGTACATACCAACTTCTGGACCAATCTAATCTATAAATTGAGACAATCTCTCAAAAATGTGTGTTATTAATCTGCTGGTTACAAGGCAGCTCACAGCATTATCTACCCAAAGCAAATTATTTATCTGATGTTAAAAGTTCACCATTAAGCCACAAATATTATTCAAAAGTAAATATTCATTTTCCAATATGCATTTCCATCTAGTTTGAATTACATAGATAATTTTATATGTCTACTTCTCAGGTATAAAACGTTAAATAATTTCTGATAAGCACATGCAGATCTCCTCTGTAAACCTCTAAGACAACATCTTATGAGAGAGGTAGATGGTATGTGAATACAGGAAGTTCCTAATCTCAAGGTCAAGAATATGACAGACAAGGAGCTCTGCTCCTGTCAGTGTCTAACATGTTGTCATATGCCTTTGATCTTCACAAATCTTTACACTTCTCCTGTGCCAGCAGCAGTGAGCTCAGACTGTGCCCTCATGATTTTTCCAGTGGTTCCTTCAGATTGAACAAATGGAGACAGGGATCTTACAAATCCAAAGACTCCATGGGCTTCTCAAAGTATGTAAGGGGAGAAAATGGGGTCTAAAGAGATAACACAACATTCCCTAGTTACTTATCAATTTTCCACAGTAAGTCCTAGTGCATTAGATTCTGTTGGATTTGATTAGAAATGGACTGTAACCCTGCTGGCTGAATACAATAGTGATTAATATGCTTCCATCCTTGTAATCAGGAAGTCTGAAGCTGATGGCCTTCAGCTCCTGGGACACAGCGCCCTCTTCCATGGACACCTTTGTGGATGGAGGACCAGGGAATATCAGTTTCAGATGCAAATTATCCTGAGACAGTACAAGCCTGAATTCGGCTTTTCTGTTCCAGCACTTAGAATCTTTTATTCCCTGGATATGTATACCCAAAATATGTGACAAGAAATAGTAGACACAGAAAGATTTCCAATACTCAGATAAAACATTGACATAGTATTCTTAGTTAAAATCAGCAGCATGGTATCGAGGATATAGAAGTTTATTCCTACATTCAAGATACAGAAGGTCCTTATACAGAGTGACAGCCATGAACAAAATCTATCCTGGTGTACAGGCCTAGAGCCCACAGGTACTGCTTCTCTCAGGAGAGCCTGCACAGATTCTCTGAGTCAGTAGGAGAGGATGATGTTAGAGACCTCAAAGCAACCTGTCAGAACTGAGCGTTCTTTGACACCTGTCCCTAGGTGTACTAAAGAGAAAAACCCTTACTGACCCATCAGCTTCAATAGCTGAGGACAGCATACTGGTAGACGAAGGGAGATGATGGGAGGGTCTTCTTTTTAACATTTTTATGTCTGTGACTATTTTGTCTGGATGCATGGCTGTGCATGATGCATGAACCTGGTGCCTGCAGAAGCCAGATGAGGGCATTTCTTTGAATGTCTGGAGAATTCT